AAGCGTATCGAGTATAAATTCAACCGATTCACAGGTGACGTATAACAATACGTAAACTATACCTATAAATCACTTATTATGAATTCGCTCACGCTTTTGTGCGTGTCAACAATGGAGTTATGAAAATCTTCAATTTAAGCGCCACCGAGTACCAGGGTCTCATCATGGTGTATAGATAAAAATAATAAAAATAATATTTATCTTATAAGTGATAAACCTCAGCGTCTCTCGTGAAGACATTAGGAGGCATAATAATATACTGTATAGCGAGGGTCGCCAACATTTTACAAGCGAGCTACATTAAAACTGTTGAGTATCTGATGACCGATCACAATTTGTTTAGGTAGGTACTGTTATAAACCCATTTCATTACAGTTATTTAACTAAATCGTAGTCTAAGCAGTTTTTATTATATATATGTATATCTGTCCATTTAATATAATATATATGTATCCGAGTACCCGTGGGAACGAGCACGACGACAGCATAAGGCATTGCGCTGTGTGGACAGTTTTGGATCCACAGCGGGCCGGTCGATCGTGCTCGTCCCCGAGGCACGGGCAGTCGTATTCCAGCAGAATATCAGTCTGAACCTCCTGAACTCATGTTAACAATATTGTTTTACGTTGTTTAAAAATAGAGGATATAGTCAGTTATTTCGCCGAGCGTACTTTTTATTTACTTATTTAATTTGTCGTGTAGACGTTCACAACATTTTTGGTGGCAGCGGTGGGATCACCTGTTGATTCCAGTACCTACCTGTACGCGAAGTATTAAGAATAATCCGTAAAGGGTAAAGCTATATTTCTTTTAGTATAAATTAAACCGAAAAGATTCGTGAAACAATTAGCGTCAACTGTCAAGAGAGAAGAAAAATATCCGAAGTATCAAGAAAATCCGAAGCATCCAAGGAATCCAGGACATCGAGGTACACAGAAACGCCTGTGAAAAAATCGTCAAGAAAAAGGAACACGTAGACACGCAGTACCGCCGTACGCGTTGCGCCGCCGAAACGAATGGTTAGTAGCGCGCGCACACACACACGTAAACGACTCGTACCCCATAGTACACGCGCCGCCGCCGCCATGTCCATAGTGCCGCCCGAACCGAACGGCACGCACTACGCACACACGCACGAATTCGCTGTGTGTAGGTACTATGTAGTAAAACCGAACGTCTGTTTCGCCGCCGTCTGTATAATCATAGATAATAAAGGATTCTTCATTATCTGTGTATAATATATATGTATAGTGCCGCCAATACCGGCAGATAGCCGCTGCCAAGGCCGTATCTGGGGGGNAAAATTAATGCAGCGAAGTCGTTTTCGGTTCTCGTTGACGAAACTACCGACATATCACGCATAGAACAATTGACTCTTTGTATTAGATATATAGATTCAGTAGAGACAACTAATACTATTAATTATGTTTTACGTGAAGACTTTTTACAATTTGTACCGGTTCACAGCACTACTGGTCAAAACCTAGCCTCTGTAATAATAAATTCATTACAAGCACTTGGAATTAACGATAAATATATGGTCGGTCAGGGTTATGATGGCGCTGCGTCCATGAGTGGAAATCTTAAAGGCGTCCAAACTATTATAAGGGAAAGTCATCCAGCAGCACTTTACGTGCATTGTAGTGCGCACTCTTTAAATTTAGCGCTAGCTCATTCGTGCAATGTTCAATACGTCAGAAATTGTATTGGTACAATAAAATCTATTGGAAATTTCATTAAAAGTTCGGCTATGCGGACAAATATATTAAAAACTAAAATAAAAAACATTTTACCTAATACCAAGTGGACTAAACTGACATCAATGTGTGACACTCGTTGGGTTGAAAACCACAACGGAATTCAAAGATTTGTTGAAATTTTTCAACCCATTGTTGAAACTTTGGAAGAATTACAATTAGTTCAAGACATCAATACGTCATCAAAATCAATTCAATTTTATCGAGCAATAGTTACTAGTGAATTTATATTAAGTATGGTTACATCAAATACTCTGTTTTCAATGACACTTCCACTGTGTAAAAGTTTACAATCAGTTAGTTGTGACTTAGTAGAAGCTGTACAACATATCGAGACAATACTAAACGAATTAACTCATTTACGTGAAAATATTGATCATACGTTTAATGACATTTTTGAAAAACCTGAACTTCTTTTAAAATCTATTGACGGAGAAGAAAATATTAGAATTCCCAGAATAGTAGCTCGTCAACAAAATCGTGTGAATATTGTTACTAATTGTCCGAAAACATATTTTCGTATAGCTATTGCAATACCATTTTTTGATGATTTTATAAGACAATTAAAAGAACGCTTCACTAACCATAAAAAAATAATATCTTCGCTGTGCTTTTTACTTCCCAATAAATGTACTAATTCCGAATTAGAAGCAAGTGATTTCGAATTATACTCAGAGTTTTTAGATTTGGATGCACTTTCGAACGAGTTAAGACTTTGGAAAAGAAAATGGTGTGATAAACCAATATTAGAACGATCTCCTGAAATACTTGAAGCATATTCAAATTGTAACAAAAATTTTTTCCCAAATATTTCATTTTTATTAAAAGTTTTGGCAACTTTACCAGTAACTACGGCGACACCGGAAAGAACTTTTTCGACGCTGAAAAGAATAAAAAATTACCTAAGGAATGCAACTGGAGAAGACCGATTGACTGGCCTAGCATTACTCAGTGTACATAGGAATATCGTTGTAGATCCAGAAGAAGTAATCAATCGTTTTTCAAATGAAAAACAAAGAAATATAGAGTTTGTCATATAAAATATAAACCATTTTTCAAACTAAATGTATAGAATTAAGTTAAATAATCTAATTAATATTAAGTCTAAAAATGTTTTAATGTGAATTTCATTAATAAATACTATTTATAATTCTACAATATTATGAATTTTTAACCATATTTAATTACCTACACAATATTATAATACAATTAGAACACACATTTTTGGATTAAAACCCCCCCCCGAAATTAATTTCCAGTTACGGCCTTGCCCGCTGCAGCTGCACTGTTATGCATGCGCGCCAGTGTACGACGCTCGTAATCAGCGCCGTCGTAGTGTTAAATAAACAACATAAAATACGCGATCGTTGCTATCAGAATAAATACGCGATTGTTATTTATTAAATTAAATACGCGATTGTTGTAATCAAAACAAGTACGCGACCGTTGTCTATTAACGACAAGTCGTAGGAAGGCAGCGAAACCCACTATATTCTAGTAGTCCCCGCGCCAGCAATTTTTTGCAGCTGTCCTTGATGCAACCATATCGTGAAAAAATGAGTCTCAACATGCTTGCTAGCTTCGATAATTGTTCCCGAGCCCACCACGTGTCAATAATTATTACAATAATAATATCGTCTCCTCTTTGTGCCGGTGATAATTATTATATTTTCCGACAAACTGCGAACACGGCGTTTCGGTTATACAAATTCGCTACACTTTTTGTGGCGGCGGCTATTAACAGCGACACTGGACGATTCCGAGTGACCGCGGATTATGCAATATTCACACTATTACGTAAACGCTCCACTGAGGGCGGCGCGGTACGAATGGCATAAAAATAGCAATTTCAACGTGGCTTGGAATCGCCAGTCGAGTTGTGAAATACGGCACGTCGGAATCTGGCGAATGCTGATTAATCATACAACGGACAAATAATCGTGCGTGGGTGTCGACGAAGTACACTCGACATCGGATTACAGTTGCTCGCAAGGTATCGGTGCGACGTCAACGGTGGCTCATGGCGAAACTAGAACGCGATGTTAGTCGGACCAACAACAAAACGGACTTCTATGTCAGTGGTTTCCAAACCTTTACGACCACGGCACCTTTAAAAAATTGTTTGTGTTTCGCAGAATCCTAATGTCTAATCCAACTCAACATCAATTTTTCTAAATAAAAAAAGGAAAACCAATTCTCTAAACCCTCGAGTCTAATTCATATTTTAACGATACTGTTAATGACTTTTCAGTTTTCACTATTAAACTTAGTTTAAAAAAAAATTTTCAACCAACAATTTTTTTTTTAAATAACGAACATTAAAGAAACATAATTTTCTCAATAATCACATACATCTGGCGGAACCCTCGACATTGTCCCGCGGAACAAACTTTGGGAAACACTGGCCTATGCAATACCGAGGTTACAACACGGCACGGATTGTCACTACAAAACAATAAAAAAAAATCACAAATTTCAAGTTCGGACGAGACGCGAAGCACGGTCCGCTCAACTTGAGCACAAGACGGAGACACAGGCAGATAAAGGTCGGCGGCGGCGACTTGGCTGGGGCCAACGGTCGCGAGACGTGCTGTCTCGAGGACCGGTTGCCGCACGGCATATTGATAACAATTGTTCCAACAATACAATATAATATAATACATAATATAGATAGAATAAGACACCAAGTACTTGTGTAACCAAGAAATAGATATGATACATTTGTATGTAACAAGTATTATTATACGCTTCGTTGTAAAATCAATACATTCATTATTCATCATTCCGCTCAGGATTCTTTTATAATTAAAATGTCAATATTGATTTGATAATTTTAGGTTATTTATAAAATTATATGTTTCAAGCAGCTTCTATTTAATTTAAAGCCGATGATATACATAATAAAAATTGTATATGCATCATTTTTTAGTGGGAATGGGACTTTTCGGCGCGGGCGATTCGGCGCCGACAGTTCGGCGCGGACGTTTCGGCGATATGTCAATTCGACGATGTCCGTTTCGGCGAGTGACCGTTTCGGCGATACGGCAATCTACCTATCTGTAACATTGTCTCACCGTATGGCGTGTGGTATAGAAATGTTATCTTTATTACTATTGTTATTATTACTACAAGATAAATCGACATCACGATAGTCGATATGGATGATCTGATAATTTTATAATTTTATAATTTAGTTAGTCTGCGGAAAGTGAAGTAGGTACACCTATACGTTGTCAAGTTTTTTGTGTAGGTATTATTTTTTTTATCATTCGTAAAAGTTAAAAAATGTCAAAAGTAAAATCAAAAAGAAACAAAAACGTGATCCCCGTGGATGGTTTTATGTTCATATTTGATAAGCTTAGTGCTGACGAAACTAAACGGTTTTGGCGATGTCGTCGTTAAGATTTGTCTTGTCCGGCTCGAATACATACCAGTATACATGATTTTAAAGTTTTAAATTTTTCTGCTAAAAAACATTGTCATGATTCTGAAGCGGCTAGAATAGAAGCAGACACAGCTATAACGAGTATGCGTCAACGAGCTATTTTAACAATGGAACCTACGTCTTGTGTAATTAATGAATGTGTTAACGGGCTATCAGATGCGGCAAAGGTACACACATTAATTTTTATTTCCCTATCTGGTCCGTATTGTAATAACTAATAAATAATTTTAATTTTAATTTATAGGGCGTTTTACAATCTTCCGAAGCTCTAAAACGACAAGTACGGCGTATAAGAAATAATGAAATAGCAGCTCCATGTGATCCATCAGATTTATTATCTTTACAGATACCCGATGAGTATCAAAATTATTCACCATCAATCGGAGTTAATGAACATTTTTTATTGGCTGATAGTGGGCCTAGCAATGAAAGAATATTAATATTTGGTCGACCACTTGGTCTCAAGTTATTAAAAGATTCGAAAATATGGTACATGGATGGAACTTTCAAATTGGCACCCACTTTATTTTGCCAAGTTTATGTCATTTTAGCTGAATTTTTAGGGGGAGTGCATCCTGCAGTTTATGCATTGCTACCTAACAAAAAGGAACAAACATATGTACAATTATTTAGTATGATTAATCAATTTACAACCTGATCTCCATCCAACATCAGTTTCTTGTGATTTTGAACTTGGAGCCATCACAGCAATAAAAAATTCTTTTGAAAACATTAATATTTTTGGGTGTTATTTTCATTTAAGCCAAAATTTTTTGAAAAAAGTTGGAGAGTTACATTTACTGTCAAAATATAATAATGAAGCAAACTTTTGTGTTGCAACCAAAACAATTATTGCGCTGGCGTTTATACCATTGTGTGATTTAGATATGGCTGCAGATGAGTTGGCAAACGAACTTCCAGATAAGCTTATACCATTATTTGAGTGGTTTGAAGAATTTTACATTGGGAAGAAAAATCGACGTATAGGACGAAGAAAACCACGATATTCTCCTGAAATGTGGAATCTTCACCAACGAATATTGAATGATACAGATCGGACAAATAATCATGCAGAGGCGGCAAACCGACGATTAAATATTCAAATGGGTACTCATCCAACGATATGGACCTTCATTGAGAATCTCAAAAAAATTCAAGCCGGGCGTGACACGTACTATGAAAATCTTGTGTCGGGAAATAGTCCACCAAAGAAATTGAAAAAATTTCAAGATACAGATAAAAGAATAAAAAGGTTAGTAAATAATTATGATAGGCAAAATAAAATGATATTTCTAAGAGGTATAGCAAATAATATTGCTTTAAAATAAAATTGTAGATAATTTTTTTTTTATATATTGGCTAAATAATACCTAATTATAATTATTTTGATTTATTTATTTACGATTTAAAGGGACTGTGGTATACATATATATATAAACATTTTACTTTATTCAATTATACTATATAACTATAAAGATTTTTATTTATTCATTTATTAATGATTTAAAGTGACTGTGGTATTTTTATTTATGATTTAAAACTACTTATTGTATTATACATATAATACGTTTTTACATTATATCACATTTTTTTTTTTACTATTAATTTTCGCCGAAATGGTCGCTCGCCGAAACGGACATCGTCGAATTGACATATCGCCGAAACGTCCGCGCCGAACTGTCGGCGCCGAATCGCCCGCGCCGAAACGTCCTAGATCC